CGTGGGTTGTGGGCAAAAAAAAAAATGTTTCAAGTGGGGGTCTGGAGAAAAAAACAAAAAGGCCCGTTTTTATGGGTTATATAATTCGGGGGGGGGGCGCCCCGAAACGAGCAAGCCAGCAACCGGGCATTTGTAAAGAGCCGCCCAGTGGGGAGGGAAGGTGGGAGCGAGCAGGCCAGCAGGGGGAGCAGTTGGGGGTGAGCAGGCTGGCAGGGGAGGCAGTTGGGGGCAAGCACACTGGCACGGGGGGCAGTCTCAGAATGCATCCCCATAGTAAAGTGGTGCATGATTATATCTTCTCAGGTAGCTATAGAAGCGGTCTGTCATAGTCACTGTATATCTACTACTAATCAAATTACTTTGCTCATTTGGCAGTAATTGCTATATCCTTCATAATTAATACTAAATTATAAATAAACTAGAGGCCCGGTGCACAAATTCGTGTACAGGTGAGGTCCGGCCAGCCCGCCCTGATCAGAGTCGATTGGGCTGGGCCGGCCTGGGGGAGGGGCCGCGGGTGGTTGGCGGGCTGGCCCCGCCCCCTGGTTGAACTCCTGGTTGAACTCCCAGTCGAACTCCCGATCGACGAGACAATTTGCATATTAGCCTTATATAGGGTGAGTAGATAAAAGTAATTATTTATAAAAAATTCAAAACTATGCAAATACAGCTAATAGACTTCAAAGTGTCCATGCTCAAAACTATGGTATGATTTGATTTAATAAGTTCTTCAAAAGTACTCTTTCTCAACAGAGAAATATTTATTATACATACCTTGTGAATGGCTGACAGGGAGGGCTCATTAAAATCATATTGAAAGATAATCTATCAAACTCTTCTAATGAAATGCCCTAAGGAAAGAACAATTGGGGGAATGTAAAAAAAATGTATAGAATGGGAAAGGAGAAAAATGCTAATTATAACTAAATATATAAAAAATTATACCAGTTAGTAGTTTTATTTACAATACTTAAAAGTTTATATAACACAATACTTTTCAAATCAACTTCAGTTAGACTAATTTTCCAAAGGAATCTTGTGATGGAACCAAAGTTATGAAAAATTAAGTGACTGCCCCCAAGTCCCATAGCCAGCCAAAGAGAGCTGCACACTCCTTTCCTGGACCCACAGCACCTCAAGTTTAACACTGTTGTATTTTCCAGAGTCAAACATGGAGAATTATATAACTAATGATTTTCAGCCTAGGGTCTAAGAAATTTTTAAACACCTCTCTAACAATATTTTTTAATTTAGGAAATGTGATGTACTGACCAGTAGCCATCCCTTTCGTGTATATCTCTGTTAATATACCACCAAATAGAAAAAGGTCCCATTTTTCAATTATGCACAATATTATATTGTTTTATACTTGTATGTAAGCAAAGAACTTCAACAGGTTGTAGATAAGATTAACCAAAAATAATCCCTACTAGACTAAATAGTCAGAAAATGTGTTCTTTGCTCCTGTTTTATATAGCAGAAGATAAATATAGAGAAGCATAAATCCATGGGTTTGCCACTATGAAGTCCTCTTAGTGTGTACTCTTAACCAGAAATTTAAAGCAACAAGCCTAGAAACACAACATTCCTAATTATGACACATTTCTAATAAGTTTAAGTATATAAATAAAGCAGGAAAAACTTTATTCTGAGTTCTATAAAGACTGGGTTAACCGGGGGAACATATTAGTTGTCTCTATTGTATTAAAAGTTTAAATGTATGTGTACATCATTTTTAAATCTCAGGCTTTTAAGTAGTTCAGGATATGTATGTAAAATGAAATCGAAATTAAATATGAATGCTGGAGAAAATCTGAAAATCATACAATGACCAGTTTGTCAGAAAACACGAGGCAAGGCAATACAAGTAGACAGCATGTCACACTCAAGATAATGGCGCCAGCACAGAGCCATGTGATAAGCAACTTACAGATTTCACAACTGAAATGTGGATTGATTAAAACTAAATTCTTAAAACCGAAGTAAAAATAAAACAATAATCTTTTACATCAGGAACATCCTATGTCTAGAATCTAAAGGAAGTAAACAGAGTTAATATCTCCAACAGAACTAGACATGAAAAATTACAGTTTTAAAGGAATCTTTAAAATATGTAGTGATTTTTTTTTTAATTAATCCACAACAGAGGATATTTTTTCCATTGATTTTTTAGACAGAGTGAAAAGGAGGGGTGGGGAGAGAGAGAAACATCGATGTGAGAGAGACACAGTGACTGGTTGCCTCCAGCATGCACCCTGACTGGGGCCAGGGATCAAACCTGCAACCCAGGTATATGCACTTGATAGGGAATTGAGCCTGTGACCTTTTGGTGCTCATGGCTGATACTCTAACCACTGACCCACCCCAGCCACCACTGATTTTTTATAGTGCAATCCAAATGATAGAGCAGTTATACAAAAAATAATCACTCACACTTTTCACAACTTTATTTAACCTGGCATTCTAGGTCAGTAAATGTGTTGGGAATCAAGTAATGGAGATACACAAATTATTTTTAATACAGTTAACCCTTGAACAACATGGGTATGAACTGCATGGGCCCATTTATTCATGAATTTTTTAAAAATAAATACCTGTACTATTTCCAAATTATAGTTGGGAGTGCACAGATGTGGAGGGCTGACCATATGCATTGATCTACGACAGAGATTTTCAAACTTTTTCATTTCTCATGGTACATGTAAACTAATTAGTAAAATTCTGCAGCACACCAAAAAATATGGTTTTTGCTGATCTGACAAAAAAATAGATATAATTTTGACTCATTCATACCAGACAGCTATTGTGTTGGCTGTTCTAATTTTTTTAATTTGATAATGTAAGGGAAAAGAGGTCAGTGCCCCTGACTAAATAGTCAGGTATTGCATATTTAAAAGTTCTTGCAGCACACCCGTGTGTCCAGCACACCAACTGAAAATTGCTGATTTACATCATTTTATAAAGGGCACTTACTAGTAAGCATCTGCGAATTTTGATAAACAATGAGGGCCTGGAACTAATCCCCCACAGTTACCGAGGGACACCTGAATTTTTCGGAGAGTCAAAAGTTGTATGTGATGCATCTATTTGACAGACCTGGAGCAATTACTCTCTGCTGCTAAGGTTCCAGTGCAGATGCAAGAAAAAAGGGTCATTGCGCTTTCTGCCTGTCTGATGGTGGCAGCCAAAATTGAATGGGGGAGTATAGGAGGGGGAAAAAACGGTGGAACATGGATTTTTGATGCACAGGGGTCGTTCCCCTGCCTCCCATGTTGTTCAGGGGCCAACTGTAATTTGACTTTTTATTTTTAAATCTTCACCTGAGGATGTTTTTATTGATTTGAGAAAGAGAAACACTGAGGTGAAAGAGAAACATTGTTCATTTGCCTCCTGTATGCACCCTGACCAGGGA